CCATTTGATCCCAGAATGACCCTGAAGCCCACCCTTGACTAAACAGCAAAGCCTCCAACCAGAGTTAGTTAGGTGGCAACTGACTAACAGAGGCTATGACAACGCTTTGGAAAACTGCAAAGTGCTCTCCATGTGAGCGAGGACTGGTGCCGTTCACTCAGTCGTCAGCCCTCAGCAACTCTCCAAACTTTTCCCACTTGTTTAAGGGAGTCGAGTCTGCCCTGCAAAAGGAGGAGAGGAGGGCAAAGAGGGAGACTCAACAAGCACGTTTAACTCATCCCCAGCACACACAGCTAGGGAGGGGGGAAGCAGGTGGGCCACAGCCAGCCTGCCCCGCCCCCACCTCGCCCAGGTGAGCAGGGAGACGAGAAGCTGCTCTTCCTCAACTGATGTCCACTTCTGCAAAATATTAGAGAGTGTGAGGCGCTGCCGATCACCGGGGCAGCTCCCGGGTCCCTGAGCACTGGGTTATCAACACCCATCCAGCCCCACCGCCCTGCCCCAGCCTCTCGGCTCCAGGCAGTCCGGGGTACCTGAGTACAGGGATGTTTCCTCATGCGCGCAGGCTCTACATGTAATCTCTGTGGGACTCTATGTAGCTGCCACTGTCACTTCTGTGGATCAGGAAGCTTACATGCTGGTTTTTTTAAAAAATCTAATATCATGTTATTCTTACAATACTAAAGATTTAAAGTAATCCCTTCCATAACATCCCCCCAAGCAGAAATGAGAACTAACTTCCTCAAAGTACAAAACAATTCCTTGAACACTAGCTTGATAGCTGTGATTATCTGCCTGCTTCTTCAGGTAAAACTGTGCCAACAATACAACTTTTTTTAAATAAAAGCAGCCCTAAAAACAACGTGGCTCTCCAAGTGACTTGAATTTTCTAAGACATTATAAGGTTGACTATGTAACAGAGTAGCCACCCTCCTCCCATAGATACGGAAGCGTAAAATTGAGACTGGGGAATATGTAACAGAGGGAATGGCCTGAGAAAATGGCTCTTTAAAATTTCCCCCACTCTTTTTGGGAACTCCAGCCTGGCCTGCATCTCTGAGGCAGGAAGAAGGTCTTTCATTCTTCGTGTTACAGGAAATAGCTCAGCCATCCCAGACCAGGGCCAGCCCCTCAGGTGGGCCCAGGTGAGGCTTTGTCTTTGGCAGAGATGGGATGATTAGAATCATTAACACAGTAGCCTAGAACTGAGGGCACTCTCTTTAAAAGCTCTGTATTTCTGCTTATGTTCAGGAAATTTGGATTTTGAGACAAGAAGGTCTACCATTTATCCTCCTTTGCCAGCAAAGTAACAAACCTCTATTTCCTTCTCCTCAAACTGCTTGTTCTTGGTCTTCTGATGCGGCCTCAAGGACAAGTGCTGGGCTTTTGGTAACAATTTAAAATCAAAAGTAGACGAACTTTATGTTGAATTTTTCAATGTGAACTGGTATCAAAAACCAAATAATTTAACAAAACAGGAATTTGAACAAGTAAAATTTCACCATTAGAAAGAGATTCCATTTTATCATAGCCATTCCTTTAAAATATATAAATAAAAATCACAGAAATTCCTACATTATGTCTAATATTTAAACATAATTTTCAAGCTATTACAGCATAGAGCTAAAAAAAAAAAAGGAAGCATTTCTATTTTTATTTTATTAATGGAACAAAATAGGAAGTTTCAGAACTAGTAGAGTTTCCCAGAAATTTGGAGTATAAAGCTAACCAAATTAGTTGATGGTTTAAAATGGAAAGCAAAAGGTATTCCTGCAGTAAAGAATAATAGTTACCTTCTGGACACTGGCAGGTGAATCCACTGAGGCTAGAAATGCACGTTGCTCCATTTCTGCATGGGTCTAGGATACAATAGTCAATCTTGGATTGGCAAAGCTCTCCAGTATAACCTGAATAAAACAAGATGCACATTTTATAGAATATGCTGTTCCAAACCACTCCATAAATTGATGGACTCAATTGGTACCCACCCAATGAAGGCAGCAGCCTTCAACTGAAGTCTCCCAGCCACTCCTTGATCTAATTTAGTTTTGCAGATTATGATAGTTTAGAAACAATCATAACAGGTGAGAATCACAGCTCAAAAATAATTTACCTTGCAAAAATCTTTATTGCAAAGGAACACTTTTCTTCAGCATTAAGTTTGTGTTTTATCTTGAAATGCTAATCAGAACTTTCAGAAGCTGAGACTGGATATCACTGTCCACATGACAGTCTTCTCACATAAGAATTTACAATGTTCTGCTTGAGCTAACTGATGGTGGCCACATCCCCTTGGTCATCACAATACCTATATAAAAAGTGCTAGGAAAATGTCTAGGTGTTAAAATTTTTATTTATAATATTTTAGAGCTAGAAGAGCCCATCTGGGTTAATTCTGTGCCCCGTCC